CCTGTGTTTCAGGGCAGAACCATCCTGCACAGCGTTCTCATGCCTGTGGCCTCTCTGGAAGCAGATCACCAAGCATTTCTTCCAGGTGCCTCTGGGTGGGTTTGAACCACTAGCCTTTCAGTCAACAGTCGAGCACCTGATTGTTCAAGATAGCCAAGGAACCCCTTCCTCCAGCTCCTGACAAATACTAATGGACCTTCTGCTTCTATGGGTTGGCCAATGCAAGATATTTTATATGAATGCAACTATATGACTTGCTTCCTTCACTCAACATGATGCTTTCAAGGTTCCTCCATGGTGCGGTGTGGATTAGCACTTCATTCTGCCATACACCCGAATGTCTGTGGTACGATTAGACCACAGTATGCTCATCCACTCATCAGATGATAGACACATGGGTTGTTTCCACTTTTTGGCCATTATGAATGATGTTCCTGTAAATACTGGTGTGAACTTTTCGTGCGGCCGTGTGCTCTCATTTCTCGTGTGTATATACCTGGGAGTGGACTTGCTGGGTCATGTGGTGACTATGTTTAAGCTCTTGTGAACTGTCAGACTCTCTTCCAAAGCCGCTGCACCACTTTACATGTCCGTAAGCAATGGGTGAGGGCTCCAACTTCCCTTTTCTCTTCAATTCCTTCAATTAGCAGGCCCAAACTGGGTACAGCCAAAGGTCACACGCATCACAATTAATTACCATACCATCTGTGTGGTAGCTTTGTTTGTGTGTCAACTTGGTTGGGCCTGGTTGAGTGGCTGGGCAGCTGGTGGCAGTTATTCCCCATGATGAGACTGGCAATCAACTCCATGGTGGGATCTACCACAAGCAGCTGAGTAGCTGCCTTTGGGATGTGGTCTGCTTCCCGTATATAAGAAGCAGCTTTAGGAATGATCTCCAGCTTATGGCACACTTGAACCCTGCATGTAGCTGTGTCATTGCTCAGCAGCCTGCCATGCTCTGCTGACCTGGAGACTTACAATGACCTTGAATTAACGGCCTGCCGTCTGGTTTGGTAACATTGGGACTGTGCCTTTTTTACTTGTCAACCTTGGGCTTGGCAGCCTCAGCAGCCAGCAGCTGTCTGAGTAAAGAAAAACCTCTAGCTCCAGTGGGCTGGGAGCTGGAGACAGAGCTAAAGCCCAAGGCTGAAGGGCTTTCATGCAGCCCCTAGAGCCTGGCACTTTGAACTTGAACTTCTAGCCTCCTGAACTGTAAGAGAATAAACTCCTGTTTGTTAATGCCATCCCATTCGTGGTATACCCTTGTCAGAGCGGCACTAGGTGACCAACCAGAACACCCTGGCATTGTGAGCACCGTGGAGCTTCTGTCCTTTCATTGTCAATGCCAAGGACACCTGCATTCTTTGCTCTGTTACCTGTGTTGAGTTAGTCACTATCCATTCCACCTCTGTAAAGTGTCTTAGTCACCTAGCGCTGCTGCGACAGAAATACTCTAAGTATTTAAAGAACAGGAATTTCTTTTTTCACAGTTCAGGAGGCTAGAAGTCTGAATGGAGGGTGTGCCTCTAGGGAGAGGTCTTCTCTTGTGCACTCCAGCTTCTGCTGTTAGCCGTCCTGGATCAGCTGTCCACCCCCCCCCCCATGATGGCCCCACAGACAACAGGACCAGACTGTTGTGACCCACAGGGCCTCTGGAAGACCACCAGGCCTTTGTGCCCAGTCTTAGTCTGCAAGCTCTACTGAATTCTGCTGAGCCGGCAGCCTGGGAACATGCAAGCCTCCCCAGTCAGAACTTGGTTCCCTGCATGGAAGGTGACAACCCCACCCCTAAGCCGCCACTGCTCCCATCTGTAGCAGCCAGCAGTCTACTGGGCTTGTAGATGCATCCGCCCTGAGTGGGTTTCGGGCACATCCAACACTAAATGTCCCCATTAGTGTAACAAAAGAAAACTCCTACTTCCAAACTGGCGGGGGGTGTGTGTGTGTGTGTGTGTGTATTTCAACACATTTGGTGGGGGAGGGGCACAACGCAATCCATAACATAAGGGGAGTGCTGAATGCACTAACCCCCATTGTGGACTTGTAGTTACTTTCTAGAAGTGATTTTCCTCTTTCCCGTGAAAGAAGCCCAGGTGGCACAGTGGGTAAGCACCCAGCTGCTAACTGAAAGCCTGGCGGTTCGAACCCACCAGGCGCTCCATGGGAGAAAGATGAGGTAGTCTGCTTCTGTAAAGACTGACAGCCTTGGAAACCCTAGGGGCAGCTGACTCTCAATCAACTCAATGGCACCCAGCAACAACGACTTTCCATTGATTCACAAATTAGAGTTACCTGTAAGGGAGGAAACAGAGTGCCCAACTACTAATCAAAAGGCTGGCTGTTCAAACCCACCCAGCGGTACCACAGAAGAAAGGCCTGGTGATCTGCTTCTGTAAAAGTGACAGCCAGGAATCCCTAAGGAGGCGCTCTATTCTGTAACGCATGAGGTTGCTGTGAGTTGGAAATGACTCAATAATGAGGGTCTTGGCATAATCTGCGCAGGAGCATTGTGTCCTCTGTGCAGAGGTATATCTGACTATGGTCAAGTAATGTGTTGCTGGTGGTGTAGTGCCTAAGGCATTTGACTGCTACCCAGAAGGCTGGCAGATCAAACCCACCAGCCACTCCTTGGGAGGAAGACTGGGCAATCTACTTCCATAGAGATATACAGTCTGGGAAACGCAAGGAGGGGTCGCTTTGAGTCAAGATCGACTCTAGGGCAATGAGTTTGGGTTTTTGAGTTTGTCCCCCACTCCAATGCTAATGCCAAAAAAGCCATTCCACTTGCTCAGTCTAATCTTACTCTCTCTTGACTTTCTCTCCTAACAGCCACCCAGAGTGCCACGCTGATCAAATGCTCCGGAATCAGAGTAGTGGCTGTGCGAGCCTGTGAATATGCTCAAAACCACTGAATCCCACACTTTCACAGGGTGACTTTTATGCTATATGACATACATAGCTCAATAAAACTGTTGCAAAAAAGAAAAAAAAAAAAAGAATGATTCTAGTTCTAAAATGTAACCACTCGATGTTGAAAGTATACATAGTGTTTTTCAAGCTCTGATCACAAATCAGTATGGGTATTTGCTACTTTGGCTAGAACCCACTACAGTTAAAATATGTATCTATACTCAGTTAAAGCCATGTATCTACACTCAGTTAAAACCATGTCTCTATAGTCAGTTAAAACTATGTATCTATATTCAGTTAAGACCATATATATTTGTGTCCTTGGATGGTTCAAACAGTTAATGAGTTTGGGCTGCTAACCGAGAGGTTGGAAGTTCCAGTCCACCCAAAGGCAAATCAGAACAAAGGGCTGGCAGTCTAATTCTGAAAAAGTCAGTGATTAAACCCTTTGGAACGCAGCTCTATTCTGACATACATGGGTCTGCCTGCTTCGCAATCCACTCTAGGGCCACTGATGTTTATCTATCCAGGAACAAAAGCAGACAAGCAAGCAAGCAGGGTTTAGTAGACACTCAACCGAGCTTCAATAACAACAAAATGCCAGCAGCTGGGGATGGCGTGATTTTAACCTGCTTCCTCCCCCTCCCCCAGCTGCCACATTCCTCCTCCGAAGACATTGCTATGGGCAGCTCCAGGGCGACTTGGATTGTTTTGCACCTGGAGAGAGGGTTTTCAAAACACAGCAGGCTCTTCCCCGCTTTTAGGGACAATGTGCCACTAACAATGAACAGACTGTCTGGGTTTAATATAGAGGTCTGGGATTTCACTTAGTTTAAGAGTCTGAGGTCACCATGTTTTAAAAGTCATGGAAGAAGTTTGAAGAAATGGAAACACGCGATGAGCGAGGGAGAAGGAAAGAGGCCTTGGCATAAGGGTCAGAACTATGGCAAACATGTGGTAGGTAAACACCCAGGGAGGCACAATTGGTGACCACAGCCCTAGTCAGGGAGGCTGGTGACAACCAAGGACAATAGCCTCACAGCCATAATTGCTACTGTGTGACTTGAAAATTATACCTCAGCTTTGCCCAGAAACGATGCATGTGCCAGCTCAACTTTCAAGATGGGAGGGAAGGAAAGAGGAGGGGGAACATTTCCAAGTCTCCTTGAAAAAAAAAATCTCTTTTCCATTTCTTTCATAGGTGCCCTTGAAAAATGATATAAGCTCTACCAAACCCAAATGAATTATGTCTACAAAAATTAAACTGATTGTGCCTTCAGGCTGCAGGCTGGTATCTGATCGATCCCTGGTGGAGCAGTGGTTAAAGCAGCTCAACTGCTAACCAAAAGGTTGGCAGTTGGAGTCCACCAGATGCTCTGAGGGAGAAAAAGGAGGCAGTTTGCTTGTGTAAACATCACAGGCAGTCCTGGAAACCATGTGGGGCAGTTCTAGCTGATGGCAACAGGTTGGGTTGGGTTTAGGCCAAATATCTTCAATTTTTTCTCAAAGGGCTTGGCAAGCTCTTGATAAAGTGTCAAGTCTGACCAGTCCAAACAACCACGACATCTGCATTTTCCAGACTCTTTATTACTTGGAATGTCAACCCAAACCTACAAGCCAGGTGCATGCAAATACGCACAGAACAGATGATGTCTGTTCAGTGCTCAGCATACGCCAGGCACTCGGCCACGCGCCTTACTCTGATCATCGCATTCAAGCCGCCTCCAACCCGTCCTTATTCCCATTTTACAGATGGCGATATTGAGGTTACAGGGGTAATGTGGTGCGATTAGGACTAGAACCCAGATCTGATTTGATGCTCAAGCCTGGGCTCTTGACACTTCTCCATACAGCTCTGGGATTAATCCTCCACCAGATACCCCAGAAACCAAAAAACCCAAACTCTGTGCCCTCAAATCGGATCCGACTCCTAGCGACCCCTCCTTGGGTTTCCGAGGTAGTTATCACTATGGAAGTAGATTGCCCAACCTTCCTCCCAAGGCGTGGCTGGTGGGTTTGAATCACCAGCCTTCTGGTTAGCAGTCAAGTGCCTTAGGCACTACCCCAGAGCACCTCCAAATCACTGCTGGTCATCGGCTGTTCACATTCTCCTGCACTGCCTCTGGTCAAGGAGAACAAGAAGGGAAGGGCCCTTCAAAGCTCCTGGGCGGAGTTCCGTGCCCCAGAGCAAGGGAAAAGGGGAAAAGTTGGGTACTTGCCTCCGTGGCAAAACTTCAAAAAACTTTTAAGCCTCTGGCGGCTATCTCTTCCACCATCTCAACTGAGCAACAGGTCAAGATAAGAGGAGGACAGCTACGACAGAAGAAACCACGCAAGGTGCGTCTGCTTCCTGTCCGCAACGAAGGCAGCACCGTACCACCCAAGTTCTTATACAAGAAACTAGAAAGAGGAGAGAAGACCCGAGGTACACACTTTGTACGGTTTTGCTACCCTAATGCTTATTGGCAGAAAGGACGTCTGTTCCCGGGTGGAAGGCTTCTCCTCTCAGGCTAAGTGCATAAGGGCTGGTTATTGTTACTGTCGTCACGACACCCCGACCCTGCCCCGGGCGCTTTTAAGTGGGAGCTGAGGCTCGAGCCCGGTGACCTTTCTCTCCCGGAGGAAGGGGCTGCACCGCCCAAAGACTGGGCCTCGGACAAGGCCAGCGGGCAGCGTCTCTGCCCACGCATTCCCCGAATGCACTTACGGAGCGGTCTGAGCTGCAGCCCCTGCCCTCCTGGGCCCAGGAGCCCACTGGAGCCGGCAGGAGGCCCGACGCAGCACAGGGGTCCCGCGCCCGGGGTCTGGCGGCGCCCTCCCGGCTACCGAGGGCACCTCCCTGGCCCTGTTCTCCTCCTCCGGCCTGCCCCACCGCCCTCACCTCGGGCCAGTCCCCGCAGGCTGTCCACTGGCTGTACCCTCTTCGGCCGCTCTCGCCGCCACCGCTGCCCAGCCTCTCCGGATCCACAGACGCCTCCAGCCCGGAGCCGGAAGCGGGAAGCCGCGCGGCACGAGATGCGCAGGCGCGGCCACGCCTCCAGGGCAGACCTGAAGGTGTGGTCGGGAGGGGGCGGGGTTAGGAGGCGGGGCTAGAGGGGGAGGCCCCGGAACCTCGGACTTAGCGTCTGGCTGAAATCTGAGAGGCCAGACCTGCTGTCGGCCAGTCCTGGTTGGGGGGTAACAAGAGCTAGACGGAAAGTGTTTGGGGTGAGGGGGTCCTCTGAGGGTGTATCAATGGGGCTGAGCTCTGGTGTCGTAATGCCTAAGGCATTTGACTGCTAACTAGAAGGCTGGAGGTTCAAACCCACTAGCCACCCTGGGAAGGAAGATTGGGCAATCAACTTCCAGAGAGATACTGCCTGGAAACCCAAGGAGGGGTCACTGTGAGTCTGAGTCCAATCGACTCCACGTCAGTGAGTTTTTTTTGTTTGTTTGTTTTTGGAGTGACCTCTTGTGATGTCAGTCGTGCATGCGGGGTCGTTCAGAGAGAATGGAGGATCAACGAGCCGGGCGGGGGGGGGGGGCGGTGGATGCTGGGAAGGGGCTTGTGGGGTTAGGGGTGTGTAAGGTGGGCGGCAGGGCTGGGGCCTGGAAGGCAGCACTGGCTGCAAAAGGAGCATGTGGGAAAAACGAGTCAGATATCTCTCACGTGATCTCAGACATTCCAAAACAGGTACCAGACACCCACAGAGATGCCATTAAATACCCTAAAACTAACATTCACGGTATGAAAAGCATGCAAAATTCCCCCATAGTACAAGACACCTGCATCAGATGCCCCCACACTGTCTTTCAGACACCCAGAAACATGTTTGAGATACCACATGGGGGCCTCCAGTTACCACAGAACACAGACACCCCAGCACAGCCCTTGTCTGATACCCCCAAACAGGTTGTGAAACTGCATAACCCCACATGAGTGCTATTGTAGACACCTGTAGATATGTTACCAGGAAGGACCAGACCCTGAAAAGGACATCATACTTGGTAAAGGAGAAGGTAAGCGAGAAAGGGGATGCGGTGTGGTAAATTACTTAGTGTGGCTTTTCTACCCATAAGTCTTTGTAAACTCCAAGGTGGGATTTGCTGTGAGCAACTGAGGAGCTCCTGATTGCTAAAGTTGTCCACCTGGAGTATTTCTGTTGGGAGTGGCACAAAACAATGTTCTGGGAGGTTCCCACTCTCTCAGGTGCTTAGAGTTCTGATGCTATGATTGGCTAGTTTGACCACTCTGCCAGGCTCAAAAAGAGGCCTCGTAGAGGCAGATCTCTCTCTAACTGCTGGTTGAGGAAGATGTGCTGCTGAAACAGACACGCACTGCTGGGAAAGAGATGCAAGAGACACACATTGCTGAGTAAGACACCGAGGGACATGCACTGCTAGGGGAGAGACTGTGAGAGACTTGGCTGAGAGACGGTGGGCTGGGAGAGAGACTGAGAGTTTTTTCCTGAACTTGAATTGTAGCCTGGTGCTTCCCTAATAAACCCCATAATCTGTGAGTTCTGTGTGGCCACTGCAGCGAATTATCGAACCCAGGCGAGAGGTGGTGGGTGCTTTGGGAGGAACGGCTGGAGAAAGGGCTGGAGGCTGGCAGCATGTCTGGCCTGGCAGGAATAGGCCTTGGGTTACTGCTGGTAATCCTGTCTTCCTCTTGTGGGATTGGAGGAGGTCAGAACATGTGGCCTCCTTGCCCTTTTTGCAGGGGAAGACCCTCAATGAAATGGTTTTACACAACGGTTGTGACAATGGGCTCAAACCTAGCAATGTTTGTGGGGATGGCACAGGACTGGGCAGTGTTTTTCTCGGCACCGACTCAACAGCGCATAGCAACAACAGACATGCCCGAGGTTTCCTGGGTGGCACAGATGGTTAAGTGCTTGACTACTGACTGGAAGGCTTGTTGATTAGAACCTGGTTAGTACTTTGGAAGAAAGACCTGGTGATTTACTTCTTCAAGGTCACAGCCATTGAAAACCCTACAGAGCACAGTTCTCCTCTGACAGGAGTTGAAATCGACTTGTTGGCTACTGATGTGGATTTTTGGTTTGGTAAACATACCAGTCTTTCCCCAGTGCCAGCACCCCTCAGACGCTGCCAGACATCCCGGCCCTGAGGCTGAATGTCCAACAGGGGCCCCACAGGTCGAACGGTTGGCTGGTAACCAGGGAAGAGCCAAGCAGCTCTCTCCCAAGATCCAGGCAGGTCACCCAGGACATGAGGATCGCCTCAAACTGAAATCACTTCAAAACTTGCCTGTGATGGAAAATTTGGCCAAGGCCATTGGTGGCACAATGGTTAAGTATTTGGCTGCTAACACAAAGGTTGGCAGTTTGAACCCATTTAGTGGTTCTGTTGATGCCTTTGAATTATTGTATTGGCAGAGAGTACTGAAAATACCATGGACTGCCAGAAGAACAAAGAAATCTGTCCTGGAAGAAGCGCTAGAATGCTCCTTGGAAGCAAGAATGACCAGACTTCTACTTTGGTCATGTGGTCAGAGGGGACCATTTCCTGGAGAAGTATCCCACTGCTGTCAAGTTGGACCCGACTCATAGTGACTCCTCCTTGGGTTTCTGAGGCAGTATCACTACGGAAATAGATTGCCCAACATTCCTTCTGAGGAGTGGCTGGTGGGTTTGAACCGCCAGCCTTCTGGTTAGCAGTCAAGTGCCTTACGCACTATGCCACCAGAGTGCCTGGAGAAGGATATCATGCTTGGTAAAGTGAAGTGTCAGTGAAAAAGGGAAGGCCCTAAACAAGATGGATTGACACATGGCTGCAACAACAGGCTCAAGCACAGCCAAGATTGTGAGGCTGGCACAGGACTGGGCCGTGTTTCGTTCTGTTGTCCACGGGGTCACCATGAGTCAGAATCAATTCGATGGCACCTAACAACAACAGTAACAAAGCAGAGGTTCGGTGAGAAAGGGGAAGACCCTCAGTGAGGTGGACTGACACAGTGGCTGCAATAATGGGCTCAAACATGGGAAGGATGTGAGGCTGGCCCCGGACTGGGCCGTGTTTTGCTCTGTTGTGCACGTGGTCGCTAGGAGTCAGAGCTGACTTGATGGCACCCGACAACAACAAGCGGCTCCATGGTTGAAAGACCTGGTTTGTGATCTGCTCCTGAAAAGATTACAACTAGGAAACCCTGTGGGGGCAGTTCTACTCTGCACTGTGGGGTCAACTGTTGTTGTTATGTGCTGTCGACTCATAGCGACCCCTCCTTGGGTTTCCGAGGCGGTATCACTATGGAAATAGATTGCCCCATCTTCTTTCCAAGGAGTGGCTGGTGGGTTTGAACCGCCAGCCTTCTGGTTAGCAGTCAAGTGCCTTAGGCACTATGCTACCAGAGCTCCCCCCATGGGGTCAACAGCAGCGGGTTAATCTTTACGGGAGTAGGTTGCCAGGTCTTTTCTTCTGTGGAGCCACTGCTGGGTTTGAACCACTGACCTTTAGATTGGCAGCTGAGGGCTTAACCATTATGCCATCAGGGCCCCTTCCATCGACATTAACCTGTTGCTGTTGAGTTGATTCTGATTCACAGCTGATGGGTTCCAACCACCAACTTTCACTTAGTAGCAAAGTACTTAACCACTGTGTCTGTCACTAGGGCATCCCACTGATGTGAGGGGCTAGCTAATTCCCTGTCCTGGTGGGCTCCTGCACACTGTAGGATGTTTAGTGGCATCACTGGCCTCAACTCACTAGATGCCAGTAGCATCCCCTAGACTTGACAACCAAAAATATCTCCAGACATTCCCAAATATCCCCTGAAGGGCAAAGTGACCCTAGGTGAGAACCACTGGTCTACGAGACACCCAGACCTTCCCAGGTCACCTAATGTGGGCTTCCTGAAGGAGGTGGGCCTGAGGGGTAAGAGGTGGCAGAGGGAGCTCCAGGAGGAACACTGAGTGAGTAAAGGCACAAGTGATGTGCAGTGACCATGAGAGCTCAGGGTGGCGGGGCTGTGTAATGGGGGTGGTGGAGTTGAGTGAGAAGTGGGTGAAGGGCCTCAAAGGTCAAGGGCTGCAACAGGACTGTAGGGAATAGAGTTCTGTCTGCAGGGCGGGTCTCTAGAAAATCATCCTGGCTTGACTATAGGGACCCATCCTCCATAATTGCCTCCAGTGTGACTCATTCTCTGTGTAGGTTAATACACCATGAGGCTGTTTCTGTAACATCTGGTTTGAGTACCTGCCTGTGATGAGTTCCACCTGGTGGGAACCTGCTTATAGCTGTTCTGGCCCCACATGCCTCCTGGGGTGAGTCAGGGTGGGGGAGCATGGTCAGAACAATGGGATTGAGAGGTTAGTTTGCCTGTTACTGGCTGAAAGACCTTGGACAGCAACAATCAATCATGATCCATCATGATTAATAATGATGATGATGATGGTAGAAGCTACCCTTGCTCCTAGGTACCAGCCACCAGGCTAAGTGTCACCCATATCATTTCTTTTATACAGATCCACATCTTTCTTGATCTCAAAGGTGGTCCTGAAAATCTATGGGCACCCCACCATCTTGACAGTGTGCTAGACTTAGTGACTGCTTGCCAAAGAACAGAGCACCAAAAGGGGACATAGTAACTTTACAGAAGAAATTGCAAGACATCACCTGAGCCAAGTGATGAAGGTGTACATCACAATAATAGCCCATGTGGGTGGCATCAAAAACCAAAAAACCAAACTCACTACCATCGAGTCATTTCCGACTTATAGTGACCCCTCCTTGGGTTTCTGAGGCCGTATCTCTGTGGAAGTAGATTGCCCAGTCTTCCTTCCGAGGAGTGGCTGGTGGGTTTGAACTGCCAGCCTTCTGGTTAGTAGTCACATGCCTTGGGCACTATGCCACCAGAGCTCCAGAAAACAAAAAACTAACTCCATTGCCATCCAGTCGATTCCAACTCATGACGACAGTGTAGAATGGCTCCATTGTGTTTTCTTGGCTGCATCCTTATGGAAGCAGTTCTCTAGGCTTGCATGGAGCCGCTGGGTAGGTTTGAATCACTAACCATTAGGTTAAATAGCTAATAGAATACCCAGGCTCTTAACATATAATCCATCACTCGTCTCTCACTGTGGTGGCTTGTGTGTGACCTGCTTCATTGTGGTATCTGCTTTATGGCAGTGGTCTGGAAGCAAACCTGTGATCTTTATGAGGTCTTCCCGGACATATAAAACCAAAAAGCCAAACTCACTGCCATTGAATCCATTCTGATTCATATCGGCCCCCATAGGGTTTCCAAGGCTGTAAATCTTTACAGAAGCAGACTGCCCCATCTTTCTCCTGTGGAGTGGCTGGTGGGTATAATATACGGTGAGATATACATAATATGCAATGGGATATTAGTCAGCCAGCCAGAAAGGAAAACGAAGTTCTGATACATGCTATGAAACGGATGAGCCTTGGAAACATGCTGAGTGCAACATTTCAATCATAAGAGGACAGCCATTGTATGATCTCCTAGGAGAGTTTCGTAGTATAAAGTGATGTGTAAAGAGATCAGAGCTGACTAAGTGTTACCAGGGTGGGAGGTGGGAGGAGGGCAAGTCAGTGAAGGGAAGCACTGAGTTTGTGTCTGTGGTGATGGGAATCTGGCAATAGGTATTGGTGATGCTGCACAGTGTAATTGGTGTCACTGAATTACACTCGTGAAAAACTCTGAACTGGCAAATGTGTTGTACGTGGCTCCCGGCGATCTGCCTCCCGAACAATGACAGCCAAAAAAACCCCGTGGGGCACAGTTCTACTCCATAGCACATGGGGGGGGGGCGCTGTGAGTTGGAATCAACTCCATGGCAACAGGTTTTTGTTTTTGGTGTTATGCATATATAGGCAAGGAGCTCTGGTGGCACAGTGGTTAAGCATTTGGCTGCTAACCAGAAGGTCGGCAGATCAAACCTGCCAGCCACTCCTCAGAAGGAAGACCGGGCAATCGACTTCTATAAAGATTTATCAACTTGGAAACCCAGTGGGGGTTACTGTGAGTCGGAATCAACTCCATGGGAGTGGGTTTTTTTAAAAATACACAGACAAGGAGCTCTGGTGCTGCAGTGGTTAAGCCATTTGGCTGCTAACCAAAAGGTTGGTGGTTCAAACCCATCAGCCACTCTGTGGGAGAAAGATGAGGCAGTCTGCTTCTGTAGATTTACAGCCTTGGAAACCCTGTGGGGGTCACTATGAGTCAGAGTGGACTCAATGGCAGTGAGTTTGGCTTTTCGGTTTAATATATTCAGGCAGACCTCGTAGGTGTCACAGGTTCAGTTCCAGGCCACTGCCATAAAGCAGATACCACAATGAAGCAAGTCACATGAATTTTAGGTTTCCCAGTGCATATGAAAGTTATGCTTACACAATACTGTGTTCTATGAAGTGTGCAATAGCATAATGAAAAAGTTGAAACATTGTGAGCATGACCAAAGTGGGACAGAGAGACGAGAAGTGAACACAAGCTGTTGGAAAAATGGCACCGACTGGCTGACTCAATGCAGGGTTGCTACACACCTTCAATTGGTTAAAAAAAAAAAAAAAGCAGTATCTGTGAAGGAGATAAAATGAGGTGTGCCTATATTTACAACAACAACAAAACAGGCCCAGAAAGAGTGGGGCCGCTGGACTTACTGGATCTCAGGAACGGTTTGCCACACTGCAGGCAGCTGGAGTGGCCACAGAAGGTTCCTTGCACCAGCGGGTGCCCGTTGACACACTCTCGTCTCTCTGGAGCATCTTGCCCCTTGTCCTTCTGATGGGCTGGGCTCTTACCCTGTTGGGGGGAGGTGGCCTTAGAAGGGTCTGCTCCTTGAGCAGCGGGGCCCAGGCTGGTGATGCCCTGAGCACTCAGGACCCTGTCCAGTGGGGAAGGCAGAGGGCGCCCCAGGGGAGGGGCGCACCCGGATGTCCCTCCCCCTCCAGCCTCCTGACCTTCTCCTTCTGCCTGGTGACCCGGCTGCGGAGGGAGCTTAGTCTGCGCTTCACCCCGGTGCCTCGGTCGCTTCTCTCGGTTCTGCCTCCGCCGTCCTCGTTTCTAAGGGGCGGGAAGGTGGATGAAGAGGGGCTGCAGGCTCTTCTGAGCCAGCCCCTGGGTCCCCCCTGGAATCACCTGGAGCCTGTCTCCCTGAACCCACCTGTCCTGCTTTCCTCCTCCCTTGGTCCTTGACTCCCTTCCTTCCCTGCACTCACTCACTCATTCACTCAACAAACATCTGAGGTTGCGAAGTCCCGGGGAGCGCCCTGGGGACTGGGTTTGCAGGGGTGAAGGTAATAAGATCCTGGGGTCCTCGACCTGAGGGCCCCAGGCTGGAATCTTGGCTCTGAGCCCTTCTGCCCCCTCCCTCTGATTGCTCTGCCCCAACATTTACCAGTTGGCCTCTGACTCAAGGCACCCTGGCGAGGGTGTCAGTGTAGAGCTGTGCTCCACAGGGGTTTCCATGGCTATGACCTTTGAGAAGCAGGTCACCAGGCCTTTCTTCCGTGGTGCCACTGGGTAGATTTGAACTGCCGACCTTTCTGTAGTAGCTGATCATGTTAACCATTTCCATCACCCAAGTACTCCTCCACCCCACCCCTGTATCTAGCTGGCTTATAAGTCCTGCCCATTGGTCTTTTGGAATAGTTCTCAAAGCCACCCCTCCCTCCACCCCAACCCTCCACCCCTGACCACTGACCTTCCTCCCAGATGACCCCTCATGTCCTCATTTAATAAATATTTATTAAGTTGGTGATGACCACTGCAGGCATGGGCCCAGTCTCAGCAGAGTCCATTCTCTGGAGGAATAGACCATCAGCCAGTGGTTCCCTGACCCCTCACCAACCCTGTCTGTCCACCCCACTATCAGACTAGTGAGCTGGCTATGCCTGTGAGGGATAAAAGCCATGTTCCTTTGACTCACCTGGGTGACCTGGTCTCTGCTAATCTCTTGTTTATGGATTGAATTGTGTCCCCCCAAAATAAGTGTTGTAAACACTGTTGTAAACTCCTATACCTGTGGTAAGGAGCTCTGATGGCACAGAGGTTAAAGCACTTGGCTGCTAACCAAAGGTTTGACAGTTGGAACCTGGCAGATGCTCAGAGGGGGAAAGATGAAGCATTTTGCTTCCATAAAGATTTCTGCCCTCTGGGCCAGTTCTATTCTGTCTTCTAGGGGTGCTGTGAGTCAGAATCAACTCAATGACAGGGAGTTTGGTGTGGTTCTTTTTAAATACCCCCCCCAAAACCTCACTGACATTGGGTCGATTTGACTCATAGTGACCCCTCCTTGGGTTTCCAAGGCCGGATCTCTATGGAAGTAGATTGCCCAGTCTTCCTTCTGAGGAGTGGCTGGGGGGGTTTGAACTGCCAACCTTCTGATTAGTGTCAAATGCCTTAGGCACGTTGCCACCAGGACTCCCTTTTTAATACCAGTGGTTATTAATCCCACTTGGGAATGAAGTTTCTTTGTTATGTTAGTGAGGCAGGATTAGTGTAGGATGTGTCTTCAGTCAATTTCTTTGTTGTTGTTAGGTGTTGTTGAGTCGGCTCAAACTCATAGTG